TCCGCCACAAGGTGCTCGGTCCACACATAAAAGTAATTCTTATAGAAGCGACGGTTGGCTCTGTCGTCCATCTTCACCACCAGACTCTTCCACCCTCAGTGGTGCATGTGAATCATCGTGCCACGAATGAGTTGAGGGGCGAAAATATTGAGCATATGCCCCAAAGTGATCTCACGACCGGCAAGCTTCGCAAACTTAAGCAGTATGAGGAACAATTTATACAGGTACGACGAAAGTTGAGCTGGGCATACATCGTAAAAGCGGCAAAAATCTACCACCAAGAGAGGGAGAGGAAGCGTATATCCAACAATAAAGGGGTAGGCGTAGAACGCACAATAACCTGGGCGGTCAAAATGGACTATATCGTCCCCCACCGCCGACAGTATTTCAATGTAGCGAGGGATTCCCCACCTAGCCTTCAATTCTGCGATCCCCCCCTCTGTTATGAGAGAGGGAGCAGGTTTCGGCTCCTCCCCAGTGGGACTGTATAAATCGCTCCACGCTTTCCCGGGGCGAGGCAAGATCTCAGTCACCGACGGGACCTCCTCATCTTCTACCACTTCTGCTCCTCCAGTGGCCAGAATATCATTTTCCGATGCCGGAATTATGGCAGAGAGATCAGCGCGAGAAGAATCGTCAGCCATTCGTATCAATTTGATAAAGTAAAGGGATAAAGAAAAGGAAAGACGAAAATTCCTAGCTAACTGGGGGAAATAAAAAAATCCGAAGTGTCAGGAGAAAAGAAATTCGCAAAGTTCTCTTAAGTAAAAACAAAAAATGTGTCAATCGAATGGTGCAATCCTATTTATAAGAGGCATAAATTCCCCAAGCACGAAACCTAAGAGTCGAAAATTGAAGTTGATAGGGCGTGAAACGGCTCAATCCCCTGGGAACGTGTGTCATAATGGCAGGCAACCATAAACAACGCTTCAAGATAAATAGTGTTCCAGTTCCGAAATGGCCGCAATGGCTCAAGGATATCGAAAAGACGCCGTTACATTACTAGAATCTAAAGACCATACCCAGGGTGTAGGTAGTCATATTTCTCTTAGATATGTAACAATCATAATCCGTCTACCGGGCCCGACAAGAGACGACCCCGGTCGGCCTAACCAAGACCCCGTCCAAGTAACTACACAGTGGAAGACGACATGGTTTGCTCCAAACCCCGTACTCACAATACCCGCCATGACAAAGAACGATACTCAGGGAACGACGAAAGCGTGTGTGGTGTGAAAGTGTATTGACCCAAGAACATAGCGAGGATTCCATAACTATATATAGGGAGGGAATCTTCCATTGAGGGGGAGGGGGGCTTTTTCTCTCTTTTTCCTCTCCTCTGTATTCTTCTTAGCAAAAAGGAAAACAAAGCAATCTTCCATGGAGGATGTAAAACAGTCATCTCCATCGATTAACGAAAGGAGAAATGAAAAACATCAATAAGATTGATCGTCCCTATTTCATCTTATGCATCATTTTTCGATTTTTTATGGATCCGGAGGTTATTATGTTTGACTAAGATTTACCTCTTCATCCTCTCTAATTGATTTAATCAAAAAGGTTTCGGTAACTTTTGGTCAAACAGATATATAAGGTACTTAAGAAACAAAGCATATATAAGGTCTAATTGATATTTTATACGGCGCATATTCTAACAGGCTTGCTCGGCCGGGTTCACTCGGTTAAGCACCGGTCGTGCTCCCCAAGCTTGGGGCGTGACATTAATCCTCATAACACACACTGTTTTACTCTTGTTCTCGTAAGTGTCTTTGATTTCAGGAACCAACATGTCAAACTCTCAAGCAGCACCTACTCACACAGACGCCGGCCTTGGTCTTCATGGCGAGAACGAGCACATAGTCACTTCAGGAAACGGAGTACCTCTAGTCAATCTTGATGGACCACCGGCCATAGATCCAGTCGATGTCAGTTCTCGTGTTGTCATTCATGGAAATTTAGGCGCCAACCTGAAAACAGCATCCGTAGAGACGCTCGGGCAGCTGATCAGAACGCATAGAGTGGCGAAGAAGGCGGGATTAGTGATAACTAGGGATTATGATGCATTTTACACTCCTTCTTGCTTAAGCTTTGATTAGAAATGTGTACAAAATAGTCCCAAAGGCTTACAAGTTGTGCTTGATTGCAGGTTTGATCATCAAGGTGACAAAGTGTCAAAAAACCAGCTCAAAAAGGAGTGAAACTTGCACAAGTACCAAGACAAGACAAAGCTCAGTCAAACAGGGCCAGTGCGGCCGCACACCATTCTGTGCGGTCCGCAAGGATGAAGTTCAGAGACTGTCTTTCAGGCCATTAGGCAATGCGGCCGCACTTGATTTCGTGCGGTCCGCATTAGTTTCATCGCGACCGCACTCGATTTCGTGCGGTCCGCAAAGCCAAGGTTCAGAGAGATGGCAAATTGAAGAATTATGCCCAATGCAGTCCGCGATCTATTTTGTGCGGATCGCACTAGAAGCCACCACGGCCGCGGTGCATTTTGTGCGGTCCGCGGTGGCCAAGCTTCAGAGAGCAGAAAAGTCAAGCCAAGACCCTTAGTGCGGCCGCACTCGTTTTTGTGCGGTCCGCACTAGCCCCGCAGGGGTATTTTTGTCCAGAATTTTAAGCCTAGTATAAATAGTTTCTTTTCCCATTTTTAGGTAATTAGATAGTTTGGACATAGAGCTGCGCTCGTGACTTCGTTTCTTTTACTATTTTGAGTAATTTTAGCTTAATTTCACCATTGAATCTTCAAGTTTTATTTAGCAATTAATTATTATGAGCTTATCTTCATCTATTTCTTTGTTTTTCTATTTAATCATGAGTAGCTAGACCCATCAGCTAGGGTTGTGGCTCAACCCTAGTTTGGGTAATTGATGAGTCTTATATTTTAAGGTTTGATTGTCTATGGGTGTTTGATATTTGGACTAATTTATGGTTTTATTGTTAAATTAGTGGTTGAAAACACTAGTTTATGCTTTGTTGATTTTGGCTCTTCTTGAGAAACAGAGCCTAAGTCTCTAGAATTAGTCCAACAAGGAATTGGGGCGTACTCAAGAGAATTGATAGCCCCAATTAAAGGGTTAAACCGAGAGATAGTAATACCCGACTTGAACCTTAATTGCTTGCATAAATGTTCATACCCAATTAATCTTGAGAAAGTTAATTAGGGCAAAATCACTCGAACTGCCGAGAGGCATAGAGTGGGTAGAATCGTGCAATGGTTATATCGTAATCCCCAAGTATGACAAACTAGCCTTAGACATAAGAATCCGTTAGTTATCCACCTAGGTGAAGGTCACTTCCCTAGTGCCTTTTATCTCATTAGAACATCTTCAATAGCTTCCTCTTAGCATAACGTAGCTCAATTTAGCCTATTGGTAGTATAAATCTAGAAGTTAATCAAAAACCCAAAAAATGTTAAGAAGTGCAATTAGGATCAATTACACAACTCTAACTTAGATAGAAACTCAATTCCAACTTCTAGCTCCCTGTGGATATCGATCCCGACCTTATCAGGTAAAAGTTGTTTCGGCCTCTCTTGCTACTCTTTAGTAGTACAGGGTTGGCCTCGATCACTTTTTGGCACCGTTGCCGGGGAGCTAACGGTCTTGATTATGTATCTTAGTAGTTTTGTGAATTGTTCTTTTTTCCTTCTTTGTTACTAATTTTTGTGTGTCACAACTTCAGGTGCAAAAATGGTAGCAAACAACAATGACCCTCTTGACAATGTAATTGCGGGGGAGGAGGTAGACGATGTTGGAGATGATGAGGTGCCTCTTGTACCTCAAGGGCAACGTAGAGGCCGCCAGGCCAATGCAAATGAAAACATTCCAAAACCTCCTCCGCCACCTCCAAGAATGGCCCCTCGAGTTCTTCCCAACCTAGGCTATGCGAGTGCAATTATCGCGCCCCGGATTCGGGCGGGCAATTTTCAAATTACCAATGTGATGTTGACACTTTTGGATCAGCGTGGGTACTTCACGGGTGCTCCCACTCAGAATGCTTACAAACATCTCAAGGGGTTCGTGGATACCTGTTGGGGGAGCAAGCAAACCAATGTGTCCGAGGATGCACTTCGATTGAGGTTCTTCCCATTCTCACTTAGAGGGAAGGCATTAGATTGGCTTGAGCGACTTCCCAACCATTCCATCACCACTTGGGATGAGTTGGCGGATAAGTTCATTGCCAAATTTTTCTCACTGGGGCACATGGCAGCATTACGGGACGAGATCTTAGCCTTCAAGCAGGAGCCCACCGAACCACTGCACGAGATTTGGGAGAGATATAGAACTATGGTGAAGGAATGTCCCAACAATGATATGATAGAGGCTATGATACAACAGACCTTCTATCGGGGCATCAATACAACAAATCAATGCATAGTGAATCAATTGGCTAGGGGTAATTTCATGAAGTTGCCTTATGATGAAGCTTGTGCAATTCTTGACGAGACGGCTGACACATCCTCCGCGTGGCAAAGTAGGGACAATGTGCCATAGGGTGACCCCACAGTCACTCATTTGCACAAAGAACTACATGACCATGGACAGGCTATAGTAGAACTTACACTACTAGAAATTAGGTTTATGGCAACCCTTCCAAAACCGTGGCAATAGATACACTAGCCGTCCCTATAGGGCTATCGGAACGGATTTGGAGGCGTTCCGGGATTCAGTGTTACAATAGGTCTATTGGAATGGTTATTTGTAACGGTTTCAAAACCGTCTCCATATAGGGGGTATTGTAACGGTTTTGATGATATATTGCGACGATTTTTGTGATATTGGAACAATTATCAGTACCCTACTGTAACGGATATTGTTACATATTGCAACGGTTATTAGGGGATGCTATTATTATTTGCTAGGTCTACTGGAACGGTTATATGCTCTACTACAAAAATTCACAATTGAATTTCTCATATTTATGGAAGCAAAATGAGGAATATTTTCCTATGCAATGAAATTTTTTACCTCATAATTTATATAAACCACAAAATAAAATTAAAATATTCAACTAGCATTACTCATATACAAAAACAAAATGTGAATACATTGTTTGATCAACAATTCAAAAGTCAAAATAGATGAGTTTGCATACAAAAAGTTCTAAACTAAAATATCTTTGAACATGATGATAGAAAGTTTAACAACGATCAACAACACTCAAGTAAGGTCTTCGTCACTGCTTTCTTCCACAATCGCTGCACCTACAAAAGACAACCAGAAATAATTAAATAAATTTTTTAAAAGATAATTGAATCACAAAGTAATTGAATGACCAATTTGATAACTCTAAAATTTTCAAACGCTCTAAATTCTTAAATTTTTCGGCAGAGTTTCCTTTGTAAATACGACTATCCCAAAATTTTCAACCTCTCAATACCAACACAATTCAAGAACTGACTCCAAAACTTAGGTGTTAAAGAGCCGTCAAAAAACCATCACTATTTTTTCCCCTTCCTTTTGATAGGTAAAGACAACCACACAGTTAAAAAACCCTCATCTATGCAAATCATTACTATATATGAGAAAAACACACAAAAGAGTGAAATTTTTCATAAATGCGAAGAGTATAAAATAAGTATCCTCCTCTGGAAAAAGGTAAGACATCAGAAAACCTTATCCTTAGCATCCTAAACACTTCCCAGAAATAAGAACATTGCCAGATAACCACATTGCCTCCTTTCACAATAAAAACACGATTTATAGTACGGTAGTCAAGCAGCAAACTCTCAAGTTAATAGTGGATATTTGTTCATTGACTTTTAATAATAGTACAGAAACTACATAAAAATTACTTTTAAAGACAACCATAGCCAATATTAGAAGACATTTGACCCTCCAAATAGTAACAGTGACAACCAAAATGGGAGAGAAGAACTTGTCAAAGGTAGAAAAAATAAAAAATACGTATAGGATTACTTTCATCCTTTGAAGTTGCCAAAAATGCAACAATTATGGACTTGATGATGCAAAAAGATTGTATTGTAGCATAGGAACTCATTCAGTTTCGTGCAAAAAGAGATAGCAGATTAAGCACGGCATGCATTGATCAGTCTTTAGATCTTAACTAATGCTGTAGCGGAAATTTGCTTCCCTTATAAGAAACAATGTTGTGAGATCCTAAAACTGCCTCATTGCCCCTGGAGTGAACCCCCTATTGAGAGCTCAAATACTGGAAAAAGATAATGATAACTAGAAGAAGCAAGTGCAGCAGTGTCTCACATATGACAGATTAAGGGGTATCTATCTTGTGGTTGTGTTTGTATGACCAACAAATAACTAAAGGCTTTGCAATCTACCCGAAAGCTGAAAACAAAATGGACACTCAGAACTCCAATTTCAAAATACAAACCAAAAATCCAAAACTATAGACCAACTACAGATCCACATTCAAGTTGATCTACCTGTCACACCTCCCTTTTTCTTACTACACCCCGGGAAGGGGTGTAATAATAAGGGAGTTATTTTCAACTTGAAGTGACAATCGAAACGTGATTCATTTATTAAGAGAATTCAGAGTCGCCACTTGGGAGATTTATGGTGTCCCAAGTCACCGGTTTAAAATCCCGAATCGAGGAAAAGGATGACTCTGTATTACAGTCCGCGAACTAGAAATTCGAGTAAGGAATTCTGTTAACCCGGGAGAAGGTGTTAGGCATTCCCGAGTTCCGTGGTTCTAGCACGGTCGCTCAACTGTTATATTCGGCTTAAATTATCTGATTTTAAATAATTATGAACCTATGTGCAAATTTTAACTTTTAGCCGCTTTTATTATTATCTTTTAAAGAGAATTGCAACGTCATTAAAATACGCCTCGAACCACGTCACATAAATGCACCCGTGGTTTTTGACATATTTTAACATCGTTGAGATTTGGATTTGGGTCACATAAATGCGCACCCGAATTTAGGAAAGTAATATTGTTAAACACGCGCCTAAAGCAACTACGCGTTTGCACTTTGCGAGGGCCATGGAATTTACTAAATGACACGCCTCGGAATCTAAGGATCAATACAGAATTAAAATGAAGGCCACGCAATTGTCATTTTTGTTTGGCATGGCACGCGTCACTTCTACTTTTAGGAAAAAGTTTAAGCTACGCGCTAGAGGGCCATAATTACTTATATCATCTAGTATGGCTCGCCCCACTAATTAGACTAACTAAATGAAACTTAAGAAAATTATGACTACTCCTAAATTACTTCTCAAACCCAAATTTTAACTACGAAAGCTATCCGTATTTTATTCTTAGAGACTTGGGCCTAATTTTAAAACAACGAAAACAAAGGCAAAGGGGAACGCCAGAAAGCCACGCAAGAAAACGTTGGGTTCGACCAACTGGTCTTTCACCTGAAGGAATGCAATTTTAATTTCCAATGTTGGCCCAAGACGTGGGCCCACACCGTTGGAGGAAATAGGCATTTGCGGGGACCAGACCCTAGGTCGAATCCCTGCAAACCCAATTCAACCCCTCATAACAAGAATCAGGCCCTAAATAACCACTAAGGATTCGAAGCACTAAATACAGTCGTTAAAGAAACGTTAAGCATAAACAGATCGTTAACCACTCGGAATATCTGATATTAAGACAGCTTTCAACCAAGTTTTAAAGTTGTAATTGCATATTCTTATTCATAAACATATTATCCACTAATCTACTTGCTAACATGGCTCTTAACATGCATATATCAATACACTCTTTACGTCTCTCACTTTAAATCCTCATCCCACATATCTTTTAACCAAAACAATTAGTAAGCAAACAATGAGAAGCTCAATGAGACCTGTTCATCCTAATAGGCTGAATGCAATTCACTTTTAATCATTATCAGTCAAGTTAACTACTGAACTATAATTCCTCCAACGACCAAATTCAGTGATAGCAATCTTCATACACAAATGCTTGAGGGGGGGGGGGGGGGGAGATTCAGTCAAACCAGAATTAAAACAATGAACCACGATTTAAACATAAAACTAAAAATTATTGCATAGCCTTGAATAAACACAATATTATTCAAATAGCTAGACCAAATTAAACAGGAGCACATGAACAATTCCTCAAGTTCCAATTACAGGGCTATCTTTTACACTTCTCATGCTCTTGAGTGCTGAGACATACCTGGAAATGAGAGTAAAGAGGGTAAGATTCAGCAGTAACAACAGTTTCCAGCAGCAGAAATGAACCAAGTAAATCACAGCTTTCAAACCACAAATGGATCCCAATCCAAACTTCAAACCAGCTTTTAAATGCTAGCCTCTATTTAGCACAACTTAGATAGCTCTTAAAACCATTTCAGGAATGCAATTGAAGAATTAAACGAAACAGTGACATCCAGCCCAAAATCCAAACCAAAACCCCTTCCAAAAAAACACCCAAAATCACACTCTATGTAATCCATTTCCACTTCAAGCTATTCAGAGAATTATTTCAGGAAATGAAAGCTTTCAGAAATCAGAAAAGCCCAATGAAACAGTGTTGTGTTTTCAATTTTCAGCCATTTTGATTTTTTCAGATATTTAGCTCTTGGATCTTCTAAAGTCTGCCTTGCAAGGCAAGAGACAATGCCTTTATAGGCAAGCAAGTAGGGCAACAATAAAGAAACAAATTTTCCTCTTTAGTCCCTTCTGAATTATTTTTTTAGCTTAAGAGTCCCTAGAATCTTGACTTGTAAACCAAGTAATGCTACCCAAAAACCAAAAAATGATATTCCCACCCCACACTAGAAGCTTCTATGTCTGTTACCTAAGATTCCTTTCTATCCTATTTCCTAAACTACCCCTTAATGAACCTGAAATTGACCTTTGACCCCAATGGAACCCGGGCTCAAAACAACTGGGCCTCTTTGAATTGGTCATGAATGACTCAAAGAGCCCAATGCTGATTCCGAACCAGCCCAGATGAACATTCCACTTCAACTCTGTCCAAGCCTCAATAAAATTATTCTAACAATTTTGATTCGTAAAGAAAATCTGCAATATCACAATTACATCCTAAACCAACTTACTACCAATTAACCAAATTGTTTAAACACATTAGTCAATTAAGAAGGAATCACAACTTGACCAAGCATGCATAATCAGAAAACTCAAAACAACAGAATCCAAAGAAAGGAGATGAAGTAGACACTACTAGAAATTTGGGCTACGACAACGATTCTAATGGCAACGGTTCTATAACCGTTGCTATAGAATTCTATTGCAACGGTTTTAACCGTTGAGTGAGGCTATTGGTACTATTGGCACAGTTTAGCACCTGAACCGTTGCCGTAGTCCAATAACCGTTACAATAGAGGCTTCTACGGCAACGTTTTAAACAACCGTGACAGGAAGTCAATCTGTGGTAACGGTTAAATAACGTTTTGCTTTATTGCGACGGGTTTGAATTCCCTCTTTATTTTTCCCCAAATTTTGGACGACACCCGCCTAATTAACAAAGGCCCGCTTTAATTAGTATTCCATTAATTTTTTATTCAATAAAATAAGAGTATACCTAATAGATCTCTAGACTTAAAAGTACCCCCATTCGCATATACTCTTCCACTCTTTGTCTCTCTCCCAATCCACCGTCGACGTCTCTGTTACCGGAGAGTACGAGGAGAAGACCAAACTATCATCGGCGACACCGGTAGTGTTAGCGCCGGAAAATCCCTTTAAGCCTAATATTAGTCTTGTTAATCCTCTAGGGTTTCTCAAAATGGTGTTCGAGTTCATTGGCGGTGAATCGAAGTTGCTCGTTTGGTGAAAGATGAGCAATAACCATCGGCGGGCTCTTCAATGGGTTTCCAAATTGTAATTGGCGTTCCCTCGTTATTTTCTCCCTACACTACTTGGAGTACTACTTTGGCATATTTGTCAGTCTCTTCTACTTCACCACCCCCAAATACAAGGCTTCCCCCACTTCTATTTTCTAGCTTTCCATCACCCCCATCTCAGGTTTGAATCTGTTTCCTCTCTATTTGTTTATGTGTGCAAAAGTAGGTAAATTGTCTACTTTTCTGCTTGATGGACCCTTCTATATCAAAATCTATGTGCCAAGATTTTTGAAGAAACACAATTCTGAGGGTAAAGTTTAGGCTTTTTTTATCTTTAGATGACAACTAATTGACTGAAATGTGAAACTAAAGGAAAATTATTGGATTGGTATTAGCAATACTTTTTTGTCGTAGATGAATTTTTTGCTTGATAGACCCTTCAAAATCAAAGTATTTCTTGCAGAATTATAGTAGAGATGTTAAAGTTGGATGGTTCTTTTTCTTGTTGCCTTTAAGATGACAATTGAGGAAAATAATTAGATGGGTATTTTCATACTGTTTGTTCTATTTGTGTTTGCTCTGGAATTTACTCATATCGGTGTCAAAGATAGTGTTTTTTATTTTTTATCACTTGATTTAACTGTGAAACTTGCAGCTTCAGCAGTAATTATAAATTTTATTACTATTTGGAAACCGATTGAAGAGCACTCGTCTTTCCTGTTCAACTTATTAATTTCTCTATTTCTTAAAGTTGTGAGTATTTCCTGCTGAAGCTTTGTTCCGATTACTTAGAAATCTGTTAGGGTTCTTTTGCATTATAACTCATCCCTGTGAAGGTCGCATGTTTTTCCCCTTGAAAAAGCACGAGGTAAATCTCCAGTTAAAGATATGGAGCTGTTTATTTTTGTAATCGTTTTGAAACTTGTCACTTAAAATGCGATTGTGTGAAACTACTTAAGAGTGCCTTCTAAGCTTATATGTGCTACAAGGTGGGTGAAAGTTGTATCATATTTCTGCCACCAAATTAAGATTATAGGTAACAAATTTTATGTACTAGAATATCCTTTTTCAAGGATAGTTTGGCCATGTTTTATTTTGTTTATTTGGATAGAATGGATATTCCTGTTGGAAACGCCAAAAGGAATTGCGGCCACCTATTTTTAGAGCTTGTGTCTTCAATTCTCTGGCTTGCAATAGTGGTTTAACTACTTCTAGTGCATATACTTCTGAATTTAATAGCTTATTAACTGTTATAAAAGTATAACGAATTCAGTGCTAAGAACCTTAAAGGTCGAAGTCGTCAAGGTTAAATCATGGATCCGCTTGTCTGTCTTCCATTTTATTTGTAAACTTTCCAATAGTTGCTTCTATTCCTTTTGATTTGCCTGATTAACACTAATTTATCTTTTAGATGTCTGAAGTTGGTCTTATCCCATGGATCTATCGATATATTTGTTGATGTTGATATTCAGTTTTTTAAATTTGGCTTGGATCATGAAAGGTAATAGTAGCAGCTAGCAAATAGTTGGATCAATTACTTCAATTTCACATTTTGAAACAATTTGGTTGTAGCTTAGATATAGTTTACATTGGGATTAAGTGTTGAATTTTATTTAATATCTAGTAATTTTGTTACCAAATCACTCTAGTAATACGTTAACAACCCCTATGCACGACCAAGTAATAAACCAAGATTTCTACTTGCAGTCACCAATACCAAACCAATAATCAGACAACAATGACCTAGAATGCAATGCATTTTTTGTTCTTTAGTTCATTAGATTATTATTCTTATTATAGTGCTTGTTTATGTATTACTGTAAAGACTATGCGCGTTGACATGAATTATTTGAATTGATAACTTTTAGGTATTAATTCAACATGAGTAAATTAGTTTGGCGTTGAGAAAGTGTATAAAAGGTCAGACAAATATATTAAAAGCTAGAGTAAAATAAAAATGAAGGTCGTGTTAAAGAAGAACGTCTTGAGTCTTCAAATCAGAAATATAGTAGTGCAACACCTTTCTTGTTATTCTTTCTAAAAGCAATATGCTATATTTTTTCTTGGTAATAATTATATAGTATCGGGGTGTAATTTTGCTTACCTTGAATATTAATTTTGGAACTTTGCTTACCTTGAATATGTGGAAATATATCAAGGTATGTAGTTTCCAATGTTCAATAAACGTGGATGATATTATTTTTTTACACTAACCTAATTGAACTAAATTTGTAGGAAAAATATGACATTCCTGACGGGGCGAAAACATGGGCTTTTTGAATCAATTGGTACTGCTTGGAGAAAGTATAAGAATCAACTGAAGAAAAACCACTTTAAAGCCTATGAGAATGACGAGCTTCGAATGGAGAATAGGCCGATAGATGTTCCGGAGGCTCACTTTAAGGATCTTATTAAATATTGGAACTCCGATTCCCACAAGGTAATTATATTTATTCTTTCTGTGACCTATTCTCTGCTTGTTTCTGTTTTGGCCATTTTCCATGGGAGGAACGATATCATATAAATTGGTTATCATTAAATATTGTTCGGGTATTACTCTTTATTGTTGTAAGAATAAGTGCTCAACCATTGAATATTAAAACATGAAATTTTAGGTCTACTGGATGTGGACGAGAAGTTGGAGGTTCCTCTCCATGAGAGTGAAAAAGTGAGAAAAATCACTATGTGATTATACTTGCGGGGAACTAATATAATCGTGTGACTAACTGCATTGCTCATAGATATGGTAATATATGTTTTTTGCATATATTCTGCAAAGTTGAAATATGAGAACTTTTTGTGGATCCACAATGCATGCTTTTTTATCTTGTTCTTGTTTTCCTCTCAAACTCATTCTTCTGATATGGATGGAATGAAGATGCAGAATTACTTTAAAACAAAGTAATTCATGGACATATAATTGCGATTGAATTTGTACGTTCTTTGTTATACACTAGACATAATGCTAAAGAGGCTGGTATATTATCTATTTTACTAACTCTCACTAATAATAGACTAGGCTCAGTGTATTATTCAGTGCTAAAGAAACTGTTGAATGAAAATTCTTAGATTGCTATGTGTATTACTTAGTGTGTGTGTGGTTGCATTTGTTTGAAGCCTCGCCTGCCACTACTTATATGTATGCTTTCAAAGCTAGCAGAGGAAACTGAAATATAAAGAGAAAATGCAAATGCTTCAGGATCACTAATAGTTGTTTCTCTAATGTGTTACCTTTAATCATCTGAACTTACTGTAGTGCTGTTTCTACAGTTAGAGTGTTACAGTATGTATTACACAAATACTACACCTGTATATTTGTGAAAATATTTTGCACATTATTTAGGATAATATATGTAATAGAAAACTGATTTTGGAGCCTTTCTTGTACTTATTTAATCTCTTGAAACTGATCAAGTTTAATGTCATGTTCTTTATTTTCCCTTGGTTTTTCGGATTAACAGTATTCTTAGACCGGATTCTCTTGAAGGTTATGACTTTATTTATACTCTTTTGTAGGTGTTGTAGATGAAGAAATGAAGGACGGAGGCAGTGAAGATCTAGACCTTACTCAAGAAGAATTTTGAATTGTTGTAGATGCATGGTCTAGCTAAGAATGTTTGTTTTCAACATTTTGAAACTTTCTTTAACTCTTAAAATGTATAACTTATGTATTCGGGGAAAAATGGTTTACTTTATGGATATTATTAGGTTGTTGGACAATTTGGATTATGAGCAGTTTCATTTTGATATTTATATAAATTTTATTGTTTTACTATTTATTATA